CTGATGCAAACAAACTAGAACGCATTCAGCAGAAATTTACGGCTCTCTGTTTTAAACGTTTTTTTCCTCAAGTAGGTTACTGTTACGATTTTGCTTTAGAACAATTGAAATTGCACACCTTGCATAAGAGGAGATATCACCTTGATGCGCTCTTCCTTATTCAAGTTTATCGTGGTTCTGTATTTTGCCCTTCTGCTTTGGAAATTGTCGGCCTTCGGGTCCCTGTTCTATATATCCGAGATTTTCATATGTTCAATGTCTGTTCTGTTAGTAAAAATTGCCCCTCTGCTAGATGCGCTTCTGCTGCTAATGTTGTCTGTAGAAACGTTGACGTCTTTGGACCAAAAACTCTGTTGATGAAACATATCTTATACTGAACTAATTTAGCTCTTACTAGTATCACTATTTTTATTAATTTCGTTATTATTATTATTATTAATTAAATATTTGTTTCTATTGCACTTCTAAATAACACTTAGTTTTATGATAATGGAATTATTATTATTATTGTTATTATTATCATTTATTAGCTTGTTTGTTTACTTTTCTTCATAAATTGCATGTAACTTATTTTTGACTTATAATGTGTTTGTCTAATGTTTGTATAATTTACACGTAATTACTTTCATCTACACTGTGCTAAGTCTGTAATTGGCTTTGCGGCTGTTGACTTGGCACATAAATAATAAAGAATTGAATTGAATTAAATACTGAATGGGGGTAGTGTCTGGAAGGTAACTAATATTAGTATTATTTTATTTTTTGTATTTTTATTTTCAGCTACAGATAAAAAGTAATTGCTAAAGGTTTCCGCAATTACTTGCTTTTTCTCTAATCCATTTTCCATCCACCTTTAATGTGCATATTTTTTCACTATTTGGCCCCTTATTAGTTTCCAATTTTACTATATCCCATATGGTTTTATTTTTATTTTTGGAATTTTGAATTTTGTTATCATATTTTAGTTTTTTAGCTTCCTTAATGACCTTAGATAAAATTTCACAGTATTTTTTACAATATTTTCTTAATTCTGAATTATTACTGCTTCTACAAGCCACATAGAGTACTCTTTTACGTTTACAGGATGTTTTTATTCCTATAGTAATCCAATCACTTATTTCATTTGAAATTTTATTTTATTTATTTATTTTTTGGGGGGGAAAAAATTTTCAAGTAATTATCTAAAAAGGAGTTAAACATTATATCATCATTAGAAAATGTTGAGTCCCATGTTTCATAACTTAGTTTAATTAAAAAGTCATTTATTGTGTTTATTTTCTTTATTATTTTAAATTGTTTAGCATGTGTTCTCATGTTTATTGTTTTAAATGTTATGGATTGTGCATCATGATCAGACAATCCATTTATTATAGGCCTTACAGAATAATTTTCCCTTCTAGTAATATCAATGAAAATATTACCAATGGCTGTAGCAGAATTTCCTTCAACTCTGGTGGGAAAATTTATTGTACTTATTAAATTATAAGTTTTCAATATGGTATCTAACTTGTTTTTCTTTTCACTATCAAGAAGGTAATTTATATTAATATCCCCACAAATAATATATTCTTGTGTTGAGCTATATAGGTTTCTAAGTACTGTATCTAGTTTTGTTATGAATGTTATCAGTGTTTCCAGTTGGAGCTCTATATATTGTAATTATACACAGTCTGTTGGAGCTCAGGTTTAACTTAACAGCATATACCTCAAAATCTTTTTCTTTACTATATTTTTAGGTCTATATTTACAAATTTCAAGCTTGTGCGTAGATAGTAACATACTCCTCCTTTTTCATACAAGGTTCTACAATAGTTTGCTCCTAGTTTATAAGAATCTATGTTTAACTGTTGCAATTCCAAGAAATTCATGTGATGTTCTGTAAAACATAATATGTGTGGGGAGGCTGGGTGTAGATTACTTAATAGCTCATTTGCTTTCCCCCTTAAACCTCTAATGATCTGATGGAAAATATTTAAGAATCTGATATTGTTTTCTTTTTTGGGTACTCCATTTAAGGAAATATTTCCTTTTGGAGCGCCTTTATTTACCATAAAAAATCCTTATTTTTCATATCTGGTAGTTTTTGAAGTCTATCTGATTTGTGTACTGGTTCATTTTTTTGCTCTGTAGTTTTTACTGAGTCATTCATAGCTGGACGCTTGTTAGCTTGTAGATCTGCATTATAATTTTCAGATTCCTCCCAGAGCAAGCAAATGTTCCAAGGCTGACCATTTCTTTTCACACCTGTCTTCGAGGGTCCATTTGTTGGTGGAATATGAGTCCCTTCCTCTTCTAGCTCTTGTTTATCCTTCCCTTTCATTATAATTGGGTCAGACTTTTTCTCCCTCCACACACCCAAAATTTCCTTTACTATTCTTTTTACTATCTGCTCCTTACCTCTTGAATTCATATGTAACCCATGTTTAGTAAATGAGTCCCTTTCAGATTCTATCTCTAAAACACGCGAAGTTCTGAAAACCTTCATAATTTTTTTTAACTTTCTGTTAAACCTTTTCACCTCATCATTTACATATGATTTTTGCTCCAAGTCATGTCTATGTGGTAGGTTCATAACTAAAATGTTTGTGTGAGTATTCTTGTTTACAAAGTTCCTAATTTGGATCAGTCCCTTATCAGTCTCATTTCTGCTGACATCCTTAGTACCACCCCACACATCCACCAAGTCCTTTTTTAGAGAAGTCCTCAATATCATTCACACCTGAAGTTAAAATTGTTGCTTGATCTGCACCAGGTTTCACTAGTCCTTGAACATTGTATTCCACATCTAGGTTATGTCGTAGTTTAGCCGCCATTTCCCTTACATAAGTGGTTATCAAACTGTGGGGCGCAATCCCCGGTGGGGGGCGAAGGGCTTGAAAGGGGGGCGCAGCATATTTTCCTACAGATAAAAATTAAAACTGCCCTAAATCAATTAGAAAAGTAACAAAAAATAAAAATACATATAGAAAAACTTTTGATGAGTACAAGCTTTAATTATCATGAATTACAAAATAACTAATAATTATTCTCTTTACTGGCAATTATAAAACACGTATGCCAGAGACAGCATTGATAGTTCAGCAGCAGCTGCATCCTCTGAAGTCTAGACTTTTTAAAATGCTGTGTGAGGAAATGGGTGCCGAACATACTGCTCTGTTGTTTTTTAGTGATGCTCAATGGATTTCAAGAGGCAAGGTATTAAAGAGAATGTTTAAGCTGAGGCATGAGGTGTTCTGTTTTTTAACTGGGGAAAATCACTCACTGGCACACAGTTTCAGCAACAAGGATTTTTTATTGAAAGTGACTTACTTCACAGATATATTTGAGAAACTAAATATCCTCAACACTTCACTTCAAGGGAATGAGGCAACTGTACTTTCTTGGAATGACAAAGTGAAGGCATTCATGAGAAAATTAGAGCTGTGGAGAAACAGTATGGAAAGCGACACGCTAGACATGTTCTCTACTCTGGTGTCAATTGTACAAGACACTGATAATCCAGTGCTTTCAATGGACATAAAAAGCTGCCTACCTGATCATCTCATAATGTTGAAAGTTCATTTCGAAAAATACTTTTGCAATGATTCTGATAAATTTAATTGGATTAAAAATCCATTCGAAAATGCTCCTGGTCCATCATCTCTGAATGTAAATGAGCAAGAACTCATCGATCTCACTAGTGATACTTCATAAAAAGTAAATTTAAGGAACTGTCTTTGTTGGAGTTCTGGATACATATTGGCACGGAATTCCCAACTTTGAGCCAAAAAGCATTAAAAATCCTGATTCTTTCCGCAACAACTTACTTATGCGAGGCAGGCTTTTCTGCTTTGGCAGCTATAAAGTCAAAGTATCGTTCAAGGCTAAATATTGCTAAAGAAGTTAGAGTGGCCATTTCTGATATTACACCACGTTTTGAAAAACTTTGTTCTCAAAAGCAGGCCATCCATCACACTGAACTTTGACATTTAAATGTTTGATTTTCTTTGCAGAAAAAATTAAATACTTGTTAGTTAAATATCATTTGATTTCAATACATATTTTGGTTAACTGCAAGTGTTAAAACTAATTTTTATTGTAGGCCTAGTATTGTGATACTTTAATTTTGAGTAAGAAAACTGCTAAATAGTATGTAGAAAAACACAAAATAAACTGAATAAAATGTCAAACATACCATGACTTCTATTTTGATAAAAAAAAAACAACAGGCTGGGGGCCTGAGAGTATTTTCTCTTCTCAGGGGGGCTCAGAGAACCACTGCCTTACATAACTGTCACCATGAAATTAAATCTTCTTTCTTGGATTTTGAAGATTATCCTTTTTTCTTCTAACCTTCCCACTTGTTTGTTGAAGAGTTACCTTTCTGAATTCAGGCTCTTTGAGATTCGACAGCACTTCGAAGCGGTTTGAGGTTATGATAGACTGGTTATCTCGTTGGATTTCCATCCTTCTGGTTGTTCTTATGGGAGTTCTTTAAGATGAGCTATTAGATTTATTGTCTTGTTACACACTTTAAGGGGACTATAACTGTAGCAAGTCAAATATGTAAACAGTGGGGGCAACATTTATATATATGTCTTATTAACTGAAATGAACAACTAAATCAATTTAATTTTGAAGAATTTTGTCTCCTGAGACATAATGCAGTGTAGCCTGATGAAGGTCAACAGACATGTCACCTCCACCTTCAGCCCATAAGATGGAGACATGTTCCCCTGAAATGTCAGTTGACTTTTACTGGACTATACCCAACATTATATCCAAGATAACATAAATCTTTATAACCGCTGTGAGAACCTCAAATCTTATATGATCAAAGTAATAAAAACTACTCTTATAACTAATGTTCATGTAACATCAGCACATCTGTGTACTGGATGGATTCTGGTGGGTTATCACTTCATATAATATGGGACAGGAAATAAACATGGAGACAGAAACAGCTGCATGGAATCTGTAGGCTACCATAAATTTAAGTCAATCTGCTAAAATACCCATACCTTTGGAACAGGTGGTGGAACCCACTCCCTTGCAATGTACTTCTTTTGTTCATATTTAGCACGTACAAAAGCCTCTAGAGATGAGTCTGTTTGTGGTCGCCTAAAGTTGTCAGGAAGATTTGCTTCATATACGGCTCTAGCACGGCTATTTCCCATCTGCTGAAGACTCTACAATGGGCAAAATAATGTACACTTGAAATACAGTACCTTAAAATGTAGCAATGTCTCGGTCTAACAATTATTAGATTTTGGTAGGTACTGGGCAACTTACCACAACTTGTTCGGGTGTCCATGTATCCAAGTTAACAGATTTCACTTTTGAAATGTGGACACCCAAATTTCTGTGAATTCCAGCACAACGGATGCAAAGGAAGATTCCTAAATTCCAGGACGCCCATCTTGGACCTGCAGAACAAAGATTTCAGCAATTCCACCATGTCAAAGCATCGCACATTTACTGCATTTCCATAATTCAAACATTGTTTATTTCGATCTGAATCCGAACAACTACATTAACACAAAGTTAAAGCAGCCATCGCGTCACAACATTAGCCAACTTATGCGTATTCGGTATTTTGACAATTCCGAGCTGTATGTCCATTTAAATTTACCTTTCGCATCACAATCCACACAATATTTATTGTCCTCATCTCTTAGCATTTGCGTAAGTAATGCTTGGCACTTTTCTTGAATTTGCTTCTGCCTGTCCTTTTCTGCCTTTGTGGTCATTGTTTGCATAATTCTGTTCTAAATAAATTAAACTTTCGGTAACAAGTACGGCTACTATCACCCCACTATCTTCAATATGGCCACAGACACCTCAACCACACGTTACACTTAACTTGACACTAGCGACACCAGCAAGAGAACAGCCAAAACTCTAGTCCTCACAGAGTAATGATGGGCAGTACGGAATGTCAACGAATTCAGAGATTAAAAACGATCAGAAACCACCCAGTAAACGTATTCATTGCATATTTCACAGGCGTATTTTCATGAGGAATTCTAATGTAAAGAATTCAGACTACGGCAAGCTCCTCTATTATACTATACAAACTTCCAAGTTTGCTGCAACCCGGAATAGCAGATCAAAAAAAACTCATTGCTAAGCAATGACTCTATAAACACGTTTCTACGGAAATCAAATCACATTACTGCCGCAACAATAAGATGATGTGCTGGAGGCAGTGTTCTCTGTTGGATCCGTGCTGAAGCTACATACCGGACGTCTGACTGCAAAACTGAAAAACGTGGTCAAGGACGACTTCGAGTTCCGTAGCACAAGAAACGGAACCAGAGTCGTTACGAAAGGCATGGCGGATTTCGAAGCCATCAAGTCACATTTCACCAACAATAACCTACTCTATTATTCCTTCTTCCCCAAATCCCAGAAGCCTGTTAAGGCAGTAATCCGACACCTCCCCATCAATACTCCTGCTCAGGACATTTCAGAAGGTGTGGAAAACCTGGGCTTCGATGTTGTTAGCTTCAAGCAAATGACGACAACCCGTCGATCCCAACCTGAAGTAGCAACAACCGGGAAGCTTCCCTTGTTCCTGATAACCTTGCCGCGGACGGCAAAATCACAGGAAATATTCAATCTGCCAAGCCATTGCCACATATCAATCAAGGTGGAAAACGTATAGGGCTCAGACTGGACTTAGGCAATGTCATAACTGTCAACAGTTGGGCACGTCTGGGCTAACTGTAAACAACCTCCACGCTCTTTGTAGTGCGGAGGCAGCCACCTGCATAAGGAATGCCCAGAGAAGGGAAACGCTGCTTCCACCCTAACATGCTGCAACTGCAGGTTGGCAGAGGGAAAGCCACATCCCGCCAACTATCGGGGTTGCAGACACGCCAGGAAAGAGTTGCAAAAAAAAAGGAAGGCTAAGAGAACACCGAAAACTGCTACGGAGAGGGTGTTCTCATCGAACCTCGTCACCTGAGTCAAGACTCAGGCGGTTGACTACTACGAAATATTCCATTTGTAAATAGTGTAAAATATCTAGGTGTAATCTTCGATAAGAGAGTTACATGGAGATTGCACATAGAAATGATCGAAGCCAAGGCCTTCAGAACATTTATTAGAGTATATTCCCTATTGAAAAGTGAGCGATCGAGCGCTAACATTAAAATTACCCTCCACAAAGGTCTTATTAAATCCGTAATGACATATGCTAGTCCCGCCTGGGAATTCGCGGCAGACACTCATCTAGTGAAATTGCAGCGCCTGCAAAACAAGGTTCTCAACACCACTGGCAATTTTCCAAGGGGCACACCGGTCCGCGATTTGCACATGGCATTCAAAATCCCGTACGCATATGACTATGTAACAAAATTATGCAGCAAACAACCAGAAGTCATACAAAAATCATGAAAATGATAATGTTTGCAACATCGGACAAGGCGAAGCCCGACACAGAAAGTATAAGAGGAATACACTTGGCGGCGGTAAGGCATACGACCGTTCAAGTGACTAGACTGCCGTGGTAGCGAATACTACTAGAAACAGGGCATACAGAGGCCTTGTATATATTGCACAAAGAAATAGGAATTAAGATTAAATTTGTATATATATGTAAATACTGACAATGGACATACTAATACGGACTATGACTGACAAATGAAAAACCCGACCTCTCCTCAGAGAGGGCGCCCCAAATGGACAGGAAAGTAACTTCCACATAAGAAAAAAATATGGTCATGAGCCCCAGCCAGGGGTCGACACCAAGATAGACCGACTGACTGACCGTCAGTCGCAATGTGGCTTGGACTTGGAATGGCTACGGATTATGACTGACAAATGACAGACCCGACCTCTCGTCAGAGAGGGCGCCCCAAATGGAAAGGACAGTAACTATCATATAAGAAAGAAATCTGGTCATGAGCCCCAGCCGGGGCTGAATGGCCGTCAGTCACAATGTGACTTGGACTTGGAATGGGAACACATACTTCCGCGACAACGAATACACGGAAACTGTTGAGTTCCCATAGCGATGAATTGAATACCAACAGACCATTGTTTAGGAATATCCGTAAAAACGGATTGTTTGTTGCGTAACAACGGGTGAAACCAAACATTTCTACAGGGTGTTCTGTATTGACCAAGGCTAGCATTTTCTAAGCAAAGGATTGTTCTTTGCGTAAAAACGGATGAAATTAACCTTTCGATAAGGTATTCTCTATTCCGTCCGAATATGAGTGTAGCTCGGGCGAGAGTTCAGTATCATGCCCGTGTAGAGGCGGGTTCGAATACCTCCGCCGTGACCCTGCGAGTCGTAGGAGGCCACAGAAAGGGAGGTCTCAAATTTGAGACAGTAATATATGGTTTCGAGTACCAAGGGACTCGGACCCGAGAAAGACTGCGCTGGCAAGGGCCAGCAGAATATGCAAAAGACAGACCGGTCCTCTCGTCAGAGAGGGCGCCCACAAAAGAACATGACCGTAACTGTCAAACAATAAAGATCTGGTGGCAAGCCCCAGATGGATGCTTTATGCCAAGATGGACTGGCCGGCTGACCGTCGGTCGTAAAATGAGACTCGGCCTCAGTTCAGTACCAAGAGTCTCAAGGGACTCAGACCCAAGGAAGACTGCTCTGGCAAGTGCCAGCAGCATATACAAAAGAGAGACCCGTCCTCTCGTCAAAGAGGACGCCCTACAAAAACAAGACCGTAACTGTCAAAAAGTCATAAATATCTGGACATGAGCCCCATATAGGGCTTTCCACCAAGAATTACTGGCTGACTGACTGTCAGTGGCAATGTTACTTGGACTTGGAGTTCAGTATCAGACTGGCTGACTGACCGTCGGTCTTAAAATGAGGCTCAGACTCACTTCAGTATCAGTATCAACAAGACCGAAATGGTCAAACAGTAATAAGTATCTGGTCATAAGCCCCCGATTGGGCTCGACACTCAAATCATCATAGAACTTCCCATGTTTTACTGTTGTAACCAGGCATTTGGGATTGCAGGTTTCTTTGGATGTTCTCCTAGCGTAACCTCTTCCTGATATAGAGAACAGAATGAAGGATGACTCATCTGACCATATCACACGTGCATTTCCAGTTATCTTATGTCCAGGTTTTGAGGTCATGACACCATCATTACTCATCTTAGCAATCAAAAGGTTTAGCAACTGCAGCCCTACCGTAGACGTTTAGTTTGTGAACTTCACATCAGACAGATTTTGTAAAAACGGGGCCTTCAAGACGAAATTTTGCCCACTGCTCCCCTTTGCTGATGATATCTTCCCATGACTCGTATATGCTGACATAATCTTTAAACTGTCACTCTCAGTACACCTAATAATGTGGCAGTTTTGTCACAGTTGTTTCTGCTAAACGCGAACCAATGATCTGTCCTCCTTCAAAATCAGACAAGTCTCTCATTTTCCGATTCTTGCACATGGACTGCCACTCGACAGAATCACAAGTGCACTGACACGAGCACTAAAGACTGAAAACAAACAGATGAACATTCACTGCTGATAACTTAAGTTCTTTTGGTGTAGCCAACCAAACAAATTCTGTTCCTTAATTGCATTATTCTGTCCACTCTCTGTGACATTAAAAGGACAAAACAAATATTATTTTAATGCAGTCTAAATTCAATAATGGCATTTTATTTTATTTTTTATTGTGACAGCACCTAGGAAGCTATGGTGACTTTAAAAATGTATTTTCAGAAATGCCCCATTTCATTACTTTTACTTAAATGTTCGTCATACTGAAACAGTTTCCAACAAAAATTGAAGACCTGTCACAAAACATGAAGACATGTTTTGTGACATTGGTTTGTCCAGTGATTGAGGCTAGCTCTTTCTAAGGGACCCAACTGAATAGGTGTTTTCCTTCACCTGAGGACGGAAACAGATCCAGTTTCCGAAACGTCGTGTTTTTATTTGTTATCTTAAAAACCAGGACGATGGATAAAGTCCAAAAACCCAACATATCAGTGTGTTATACTCCATCGTCAGAATCCTATAGTAACAACATACATTATAACCACCACTTTCTGTAACACAGAACTAAGATTTAAATTCAAAAAATAACTTCTTCAATGGGAACTAAAAATACACTTTGCATCCAAGTCTTACAAGAACTTATGCTAATGCAAAAGAACAACATATCATTCTGATTAATAAACTACTCACACATGTAATACTCGGAAGCTACATATCAAAATTACACCGTCTTCTGTCATACCAAATATGCACTCATTAAATTGAATTCACTCTCTATCCATGGTACCACTAAAATATATTTTATGCAAATTACTGTACATACTTCACTCAAGATTGTTAATAATAATGCAAGAATAAACTAAAAGACACATTGTCTTTCACTACACAATTTATATTCTTATATGTAGTTACGTCCATTGAATGAATAAATGTAAGTTATGGTGTATACTTCATTACAAATTCATTAGTTTCATGGTTCAGAAGGAAAACAGTACGATTTCATCGTGGAACAGAAGGAAAACATGTTTGTAAAATTTCGTGTACTTGCCATAGATAAATAATCAGAACTTGTATATATATTGTCACGTATCGGGCGTATAACGCGACAAATAACTTCACGCCGTATTTTATATAGCGAATTTTATTTCACATTCGCACTTACAATCACCCAAATTACAGATTTACGATTACTGCTATCTGCAGTATCACAAATAGTACACTCCAAATGCCACGTTACAACTGACTGGTTGCTGGCTAACTCGGAACTAACTCGGAGGTAGCTCGAGGACTGGCTCGGCGGTAGCTCCAGGACTAACTTACTGACTGTGAATAGCCTTCGCTGCTCCACATGTAGCCTTGATCGGACAATTGTCGTCTGG